ATAATCATACCATATAAGTAAACGTGAATCTTCATTTAAAGGATAAAAATTAAATGTACAATTGGAATTAGAAAAATAATCATTTTCAGATGAACGTGGTGGTTCAAAGCTTCCTACAAATACAAGCAATCATTCTATTAATTCATAATCTATCAAAAATATAATTCGAAAACTTCATTTTCTTAATTAATGTTTACTATCAAATTTTGTAAGAAGCAAAACAAAAAAAAGACGAGATCTTACCAGAAACTGCACGTAATTCATAATAAGAAAGATTACAAATAGTTGGATTCACAGCATCATATTCATCAGCAGCTACTTGATGATAACTTTTAACAAATTTATATCTTGCTTGATATTTTCCACCATTAATTAATGATGGTAAAACATTATTTGCTAAACGATCATTTGGAATAAGAGATACTTTAAGTAAAGCATTCTTTGAAACAAAACGTCCTTCAGGTTTAAAATGACCACAAAATGAAAGATTTGCTTTAAAATCAAGATCTTGTCGATAATAATTACTAAATATTGAAGATCTTTCTGTTGTCATTGACATTGAACTGCTTGATACAGATGATAGACGAGTACGTAAATGATAATCATATATTCTACTTGCATTATAAATAACTAATGATGCTAAATGACAGTCAATATCAAATTGATCAAATTCAATTTCAACGTTTTCTAATGTATAACGATCATCAAGACCTAATAAATATGTTGTACATGATGTTTGTGGTTTATATGGATATGGCCAATTGGGTGATAGAAGTTTACCTTAAAAAAAAAGAAAAAATTTAAATTAATATATTAAAATAAAAAAAAAAAAACAATCATTTTCTTATACCATATCCTTGACCAAATGATTTTATAGTTTGATCACATTCTGTACCAGATAAATATTGATTTGATTTATTTTTTGTTATAAAATCAAGTTTACTTAATGATGATAAAAATTCATATTCAGCAAAAAAACCTTTTCTCCAAAATGATCGTCCTATATCATTCATTGGTGTTTGTTCATCATCAGTTAAATCAGCATAATGTGTTGCAATAAAATAAAGTAATAAATGATTACTTGTTGAATAGACATCAAGAGGTAATGTATATGTACCACATAGATCTGTAATATGATATTGTTCTGTTTCTTCAGGTAAATATTGATAATCAAGATTATTTATATAACGAAAACCAGATAAAAATCGACGAAGTTCTGGTGGATCTAATGTTTTATCATATAGTTTTATTAAATCAATAGCACAATGTTGAGTATTTGGAGTTTTAAAGAGGATTAAATCACGAAAACGAATGTGAATACGTTCATCAGGTAAACCAATAAATGAATAATTACAAAATTGCCACTACAATGAAGATTTCTTTTTTTCGATTAATAATATTGATATTTATCTACTTACAGGTAAATAAGTTCCTGGATATGTGGATGAAAAAAATTCACCACGTTTTGAAATTGATGAATTAAATATATAATCACATGGTTCACGTATGAGATTATTTCGATAAGGCTGTGCTGATATAAAACGAAATGAACCATTAAAACCACGTTCTGTTTGTGTATCTTCAGTGAAAAATCCAAGTAAAAGTAAATTTGTAAACGATACAAGTAATGGTGGTTTATTTCGACCACAATAACGATGAAGTAATTGATCATTAAGTACATTTTGAACAATATCAAAATTAGTTACATTAATAAAAACATCTAAATAATCATGCGTACATTGTGGTGGAACACCACGAATTTGAAAAAGATCTATTTCAATTTGAACACGATAATCAGATGAAGCTATAAATTGATAAAATAATATTGTATCTTGTGGATAATAGTTTGGAAAATTAGGACCTTTAAAAATCGAATCAATCAAAACAAAAAAATAGTAATTAAATTAATCTAATTAAGAATAATTACATACTGGAAAAAATACCACCATCTGGCCCATAATGAGCCATATCGAAAGTTAAATATTGTGTTTCAATGGTCACTGATGATATAGGTAATGAATCATCTTGACCACGAACTTGCCATTTGAGAAGCATTAAACAGATAAAGATAACGATAGACGATGAGTCCATGATGACAATCACAAGTAAAAGAGAGCTCGACGACATGCTCGTCGTCTTCGTCGAACGAAAACCATTCAATGTGTCATGATGAAATTGACGGTAGTTCGTGTCTTTACCATTGACAGACACGCACACAAATTCCTGAGATCTACAAGGCCATATACTATAGGAACGAACAGAAAAAACGACAGCGGACTGATTAGTTAGAATGACAATACACAGAGAATAGAACTAGTAGTATGAAACGAGAAAAGATGCCGGTGGTAGAGCATTGAGGAAGATCATCATCATCGCAGTTGTGGTTGCGGTAGCAAGAACTGTCTTTTCCTTCCTTTCTATTCTCTTTTTTTCCAAGATTCCTCGTGCTTGTGTGTGTGTGTGTTTGTATGTATGTTTCTATCTTACTACAAAAGCCGGAGGCAGCTTGTGTGATTTACTCTGTTTCGCACAAAACATAAAGCAAAAGAGAGGGAGAGAGAGAGAGAAGAAAAGAGAAAGAAAGAGAAGAGAGAGAGAGAGAGAGAAAGAAGAGAGAAGCTCAAGATCAAATCAAGTCGTCGTTGTCACTCACCACTATGCACTTCTTTGATTACATAAACGCATGCGATAAAACGAGACCCCGGAAGTGTGGGCAAACTGTCCGGATGAAAAACAATTATATAACTAGCCAAGTGTAGAAAGACGAGACTCTTTTCATAATGTTCGACTGTTGAAATGCGATGTAACAGATGGTATCCTCTGTTTCTCTTTCCCATTCCTTTCTTTTTTTGTTCTTGCTTATACTGAACAGAAATAATACGAATACCTCTTTATCTGAGATAGTTCTTAACATCAAAAGTATTTCTATCAACTCTTCTTTGATTAGATGGTAAGACTAATGAAATGAAACTATAACATCTTGTATCATCACTCATACAACACTTGTCTCATTGTTATCTTATGTATATATATATCTATATATATAAAAGATATCATTTCAGCGAACAACAAAAAGAAAAAGCCTATGGGATAGTAGGAGGTAATAGCACGATGATGAAACCAAAAAGATCAAACATGTTGACTCATCTAGTGAGAAAAGNCAAATCAAGTCGTCGTTGTCACTCACCACTATGCACTTCTTTGATTACATAAACGCATGCGATAAAACGAGACCCCGGAAGTGTCGGCAAACTGTCCGGATGAAAAACAATTATATAACTAGCCAAGTGTAGAAAGACGAGACTCTTTTCATAATGTTCGACTGTTGAAATGCGATGCAACAGATGGTATCCTCTGTTTCTCTTTCCCATTCCTTTCTTTTTTTGTTCTTGCTTATACTGAACAGAAATAATACGAATACGTCTTTATCTGAGATAGTTCTTAACATCAAAAGTATTCCTATCAACCCTTCTTTGATTAGATGGTAAGACTAATGAAATGAAACTATAACATCTTGTATCATCACTCGTACAACACTTGTCTCATTGTTATCTTATGTATATATATATCTATATATATAAAAGATATCATTTCAGCGAACAACAAAAAGAAAAAGCCTATGGGATAGTAGGAGGTAATAGCACGATGATGAAACCAAAAAGATCAAACATGTTGACTCATCTAGTGAGAAAAGAAAACATGAGGGGGCGCACTGCCTTATGTTTGAATTAGTACCATATTCAATTAGAAACGACAATATTCGAGGCCAATGTTAGTTGTTGTCAATTGTTTAGACGATTGTCTGTATTCTAATGAGTAAAAAATGAGGCTGCTCAGTTGTTCTACATGTTGATGATGCTAATCACTTCATATACAAGCAAAAAAGTTTGTCGTGTTTGTTGCGCAACATCAATACTCCCGTCATCATTATTCTTTCTCACGAACATGCACATACATATATACAATGGGAATAGTGACCGCCGCTTCTCACTTTCTGTCTCATGTCAATCTCGATTAGTATATACAATCGTTCAATAAAATGAATGTATATATACATATATACACCGTCTATAATAGTACAGTTAGGTCAGCGTCACTTGATACGTTGTCATCACCTATATGTTGAACAACGAAAGAAAAACGAATAAAAAAAAAGAGAGGTAGAAGTCAACATATAAAAAGTAATGATCCACTTGACGTTTCTTTTTTTTTTCGAAATATTGCATCAAGATGTGACCGATTCAAATAGCATCTTATTTGAATTTATAACAAATGATACACCCACATATACATATATATATATATACAACACATAGAATAGAGATTTAAAAAGGATTTCATATATGACTGACATTCATATTAGTTTCCTTTTTCAAATAAAAGCATTTATATGAAACAAAAAAAAATCTGAAACCATAGATTTTTTTTTTCTATTCTTATTGAAATCCGTGATTCTTTGTCTGTTACATAAGAAAGCCACTTCTTTTTTTTTTTTTTTTGAATAAACTATAAAATAAATGTTGAGTTTGTACAATCTATTGTTTCTTCTTATACATTTACATATTTTACTATAAAAAGTATTCATTTTCTTTAGCTGATATTTGATTCTTGTCTTCGATTTTAATCAAGATTACACCTTGCCCCAACAGAAAGATGTATTCATAAGTACAAAAAAGACATATTCTTGATAAGCTTCTCAAGAGAGACACCAAGAAGAAATAGTAGCTTTGTCCTTTAGACATTTGTTGTTTATTGTTTTTACTGTATTAGTAACATAAAGCTAATATGTGTATCGTCAGGCGCCAATCTTGTTCTCTTGAGTATTGGTCTACATGTCAATCAATTTTTTTCCTTCTGTCATCTCTCAATCTCTTCCACTTCATACAAAATATATTCTGAATATATGAATGCATGTTATGCGGTAATCAACTTTAATAATATCGAGCATAGTTTGAAGCTCGTTATAACAAAAACAAACAAAGAAAACATGAAAAAAAACATCACATTGAAGAAATCACCGTGCTGTTGTTGTTGTTGTTATTATTATTATGATTATGATTATTTGTAGAATTTGTTTCTGTTAATGTTGATGCTGATGCAGCAGCTAAAATAATTTCAATGGCACCTTTTGTTTTCATTAATTCTAATTGAAATTGTAATTCATCATGAATAGTTCGTTGTAATTTTTCCATTGCTTTATTATTTTTATCCGAAGGTGATGATGAAAAATCATATAAATGTGATATTATATGTGCTACTTCAATTAATATAGGCATATATGTTGTATGAGCAATATGTTTTTGTAAATAACGAAGAATTTTCAATAATGATAAATCATCTCGACCTGCTAATGCTTGTTTAAGCATTTGACGACGTGATAATTCTTTAAATAAAGCTAAAACAATATCTGGTTGTCGACGTTTAAGTGCTGATGTGAATGCAGCATCTAAAGCAGCTGATGCACGAAATTTTCGTAAATAATTATCATATGGTGCTAGACGAGGACGTCGACTAGCAGTTGCAATTGGATCCGTTGTTGTTGGAGTAACAATACCTAAACGAAACAATTGTATTAAAAAGAAAACACATTAAATTTATTTCTTTACCAGATGGAAAAAAACGTCGTCTTGATTTTGTTTTTCTTGAACCAGATGAAGCTGTAGATTTTGTATCATTTGTTGATTCATCATCAATTGGTACAAGTGAATTATTTGATGTTATCATATCACTATTATTATCGATCTTAATCGATCCATAACCATTTGCTATTGTAACAGCCGATGATGAACTTGACATTTGCTGTGAACCATCTCGTCGTTTTACTGACCATAAACCACCGGGCATACCAACACATAATGCTCGATCATTGGGTCCAATCATTCCTAATGATAAAACAGCATCAGGATATGTTATTGTATGAACAACACGAAATGTTGATGCATCATAAATTTTAACATGACGATCAAGACCACCTGATAATATATAATTTTGTTCACAAGTAAATCCTGTGCATAATATTGATTTATGATGATTAGATAATGATGCTAAAAGACGACCACCACCTAATAAATCCCAAACTTTTAAATAAAGACCACCAGCAGTTATAGCAAGTGTTTCATTAGCATACATTAATACCTATCGGGAAAGAAAAAAAAAAAATAGAATAATGAAAAATAAAATTTTACAAAATATATGTATCGTGAACGACATGAATATATTCTTTTAGAATAATCTATATATGAAGATAGAATATAATAATCTTGAATGTTTATCTATCAAATGTGTTTATTTTTGAGAGAAACTGTCAGTGGATATTTACTATCTCATTTATTATAATTAATCTATTCAAGTTAGAGAACAATATTTTTTTTCAAAATTCTTAAATTGTTTTTTGTACAAAAATTTTAATAGAATAATGTATCTTTGTTTTATTCTTACCGATTCAATTTGATCACCATGATCAAAATTCATTAAAATATTATCATTATTAGACATTCTTCGATCGATTAATTTCATTGTTCGATCATAACTTCCACTTAAAAATAAATGAGGATTTGTTGTTGAACCTGGTGTTAATGCTCGAACATAATCCGTATGAACATGATCAAATTTTGATAATTGTTTTTCTGTTGCTAAATCGAATACGCGTACCGTTCGATCATCACTACCTGTAAATATATATGTTTTATCACGTGAAAAATAAGTACAATGAACAGGTGATCCTTGATGTTCTTTAAAATGACGTAGTTGAGTACGTGTTTCGAAATCAAATACACGTACAATACCATCTTTTGAACCAGCACAAACTAAACGACCATCTTAAAAAGAAAATAGAATCATTCAATTATTTAAATGTAATAAAGAAGAAAATTATCATATTTTAAACCTGAACGAAATGTTCCACAATATGCAGTATCTTTAAATGAATAAAACGAACGAACTAGTGATAATGTATCAGGTGAATATATTTGCACACGTGTTGAATCTGTAATTGAAATCCATTGTTGACGTGTTGGAGCTATATTAATAGTTGTAACTGGACCATATTCACGAAGTGTTGTTGGATGTGCAGTTGATAATGGTCTCCAATAAATATCATCATCAGTTAAAGCTTGTCCATCATCAATAGGACGTTCAATATATAATTGTTTAAAGTCAGTCATCTTAATAATACTAAGGAAAAAAATCTATAATCCGACAAACAAAGAAGAATAATCAGTTTCGAAAAAAAATAATAATCAATCAGAAATATCGAAATATCATTGGACATAAATATGCACCGATAAAAACAAATCGATTATAGTGACATCCGATTCAATAAAATACTATTCGTTCGAATATTTCATGGATAAAAAGAAAAAAACGAAGTTTACATTATTTTAGTTAAGTATATAAATAGAATAATGTAATTACGATTTTATATTTTGGAATATTTTCGAAATTTCCCATAATCATACTGGCGACTTCACTGGTTTGATAAGTTGTACAATCTGAATGGCTGAACTAGCTAACAACTTTGGATATCCAGATCGTAAAATATAACGAATATTTATCTTGTTGACAGACAATTTCAATGAGGTTTGCTTGTATAAGATGTATTGAATTTACATAAGTTTGTTTTTATTCTTGTTAAATTTATTGTCATTAAATCTACGACCATATTCAGTTCTATGAACTTATTATTTCCTAAAGAACTGTTGCAACAGTTTTCAAGATTGGAACTATCGTAGGTCTAGTTGTCATTGAATGTACTTTTTTCAGATTTTATTAAGTTTTTTAAAAGTTATTTCTCAGTAACAACTAATAATTTAATTAGAATAAAAATATAAATTATTTTCTTTTACTTATAGATGTGTTACTGAAGTTTTAATGGATTAAATAAAGCTTTAGTGCAATTTATTGAATCAGAAATAAAACAATCTATAATTGATATAGACAATCCTATGTTTAAAAAAAAAATCTTTTATAGGAAAAGACAATAATAATCTTAATTTCACGGAATATTTATATGATTAAACAAGAGTTATCGAAATAGTATACATTTTTCCAATAATCATCATAAATTAATTATACCAGATGCATCGGAAGAATTCGGCAGTAATCATAAGTTTTATATTTGGTGCTAGAACAATTTATCGCTTTGATATAATTCAATAATAGTTTATATTTATTTTTCGTCATATAAGCAATTTATTAACTTCAGCTTGAAAACTATTCGCCGACTAACAGAATTATTGTAGACGCTTTTAATATAGTATAGATTTCAATTTCTGACTTGAAACATCGTGCAGTTATAATGAATTGTAATATGAAAACAAAGAATTCAAATCTTTTTTACCAATTGATTAATAATGATATCATGAGAAAACTTTCCAATATATATGTTTTCGAAAGTATTATTTATCACATTCGAATGTTTTTCCGAGCCAAAAAAACGAGCAAAAATATTGTCATATGTTTATGATATCGGCATTTCTTTCGCTTTCGTTCTAATTGAACGATAGTAACTACATCATCCATGAAATTCTATTGATTTAATTTTGAAAACATGAAGTTAGCATTATTAAATCTTCAAAATAAACAAAATTATCGAATAAAAAATGAGTATTCTAAAAATAGCATCGATTTAAATTTGTTTGGTTCAGATTAAATTAAAGCTTTTCTACTATTCTATGCTATGTTCTAGTCATCATTCTTTCCAAAATATCTATTCATGTGTCAACGGATCTTAAAATATGTCATAAATTGAAATAAATATAAAGTGCAATTTCTGTTTATATGCAAGAACTTTTAACTACTCATTTATCTTCAAGTGAAAGATAATATTTCCAAGAAAACCAAAAGGGAAATTGTATCATTTCTAGCAGAAATGGTTCATCCTTCATGAAGTTAAAAACATATGTTTTCTAGAAACAACAGAAGCCGTTATTTAAATCCAGTTTTATTAACGAAAAAAAATGCTTCAATGATTTATACGTGATAATCAGAAGTTCAAAATATTTAGCAAAATGTTGATGATGTTTTGTTTTGATCTTATCATCATTTTGTACCATTACGTGTTCATTCATAAGAACAAATGAATTATTTTGTCATAGAAATTTTTCAACTAATTTTTATATGAAAGAAGTAAAATGAAAATATTTCAAAATATGTATCTATGAATATTCGCCTTTATCTGAACTTGGGTATTAATTTTTTTTTTTTATAAAATTCATTGACATTAAGAAAAGCAAATAAATTTTATGCGAAAATCATTTAACGTTTTCTATATTCCTAATGGCAAATGGTAGATGTTTATATGAAACATTGTGGGATCGAAATATTTTATATCTAAATCTAAACTTTAATAGTTCGAATTTTCATCAAAATAATTCCTATTGAGTTCTCACAGGTATCTTGATGAATATGAAAATGAATCAAAAATTGTTTATTAGCCAAAAAATAAATGATTTTGTATATGTTTATACTTTTGCTTTCTGTTTCTCGTTTGATATGTGTGACTCTATGTGAAGTAACGAATGTTCTTATTTGCCGATAAAATTTCACAATTATCTAGTCTAGCCATCTACAGCTAAACGTTTTTTGCAGAAGTAAGATTCACTGTTTTTACCATATGTAGTAACGTTCAGAATTTTATGTTCTCTGGCTGTATGAATATTATTTGACTGTCCAAGAACTTGTCAATTAAAAATTGGAGGTTTATAAAGATATTTTAAATTTTGCAAAACAATTGAATCGACTGTATGACGAGCAGAGACGATGTGAGCGAGATTCTTAAAAGTAAAGGTGCTTCATAATGCATCTGTATCTTCTCATCATAATACGAACGTATAATAGATGATTTTAAGTACTCGTGGAATTGAAACTTCATTTTTTTTCTTTAAATAGTCCACGTAATAGTATATGACACATAATAGTTCTTATAGAAAAAATTAGTATTTACTGAATGTCATTGAATCGCTTAAATTGAAAAACTGAAATGCATAAATATTTTCAAAATGATGCAATAAATAATGTTAAATCATACAATTATCTTATATACTAATAAATCATTAATTATCGTATGGCTCATACAATCAGAATAATCGAGCATTTAGAAAACTAGAATACACACAACAAAAATTGTTAAGGTTTTATTACTGAAATAAAAAAAGCATTTTTTTGTTGTTGTTTTGTTTAATGGAAATCTGCTTTATAAATTCTTGTTCAATTCATATTGTTTATGAAGCTTTATTCTTATTATAAAATTTTTTTCTTTCTAAAACAATCTTTTTAGAAATGATTTCATCCATGCCAAACTCAACTAAATTTTCATGTCAACTGTGACATATATTAATCAAATAAATTCATCGTAGCTTCGTCATTTGATTACACCTTTACCTTCGTATTAATTTGCAATTGGAATGCGAACACGATATTTAAAGCTTAAATAAATTGTATAAAAAAACGTAGTTTTATTCTACTGTAAAATATAAATGATGTTTCGTTTCTGTAACATAAACGTACTCGTTGTATGCATTGCTGTATGATTTTCTTGTTTATTCTAAGGGTGTAGGTATCGATGTGTTGGGATTTGAGTAGATCCCCACCAACACTCAAACGTCATCTTAATGTATAAAGACAAATTTTTCAACTTTATATTGATCTAGAGTTGACGGATTCATCTAAAACTGAATCTACAATAGAAAAATTCTTATTGAAAATTTATTTAATCTGAAATTATCTATAGAATCGAAAACATCTTTTTTGAAATAAATGAATGTGAATAAGAAGTTCAGTTCGATTATTTTTTTAAAATTGTCGAATCTTGTTAATATCCTAGTAGTGAGATTAATGCTGAAACTAAGTTTTATTTATTTTTACAACGCCTACGATTATATTTTGTCTCTCAATTTAATAAATCTTCGAAAATTTCTTTCATTAATTTTTAATTCGTAATGAGTAACTGAAATCAGTGATTAAATACAATTTAGCGCTGTTTTTTTGAAAAAGTCGTTTTTTCGTGTCATAAGCGCGATAAAATCTGGCTTAGTCATGTTTTTCCTCATTATATGCGATTAGTCATGATTTTCATGGAATGGTAGAATTAATAGATTGTTCGCTTTTCATTATACAAACGCTATCGACAGCAACTCAAGATATCATCTTTTTCTATAGTATTTGTTGACAGACAGAACCAATTTAATCAAAAATCAGTCGCTGTCATGGTATGATTATAGTGACATCTCATTCAAATAATATCATTTGTCCAAATATACATATAGCATTAGTAAAAAAGGAAGAGAAACTGTGTACTGCATGATACAATACGAGCAGAAGAGCTCCTATCGTTCATCTTCCTATCTTATTGTCTATGTGTCATTTAATATTTTAAATAAAACTATTACAGTGGTCTGCTTTCTTTCTGAATAAATTGACAATATTCTAATAAATTAACTTATTCATACGCTTATGATTATTATCTTTATAAATTTAATATATTCAAGAATTCATTTAAGATTATGTCAATGTCAAAAGTATATTTTTTTATTTATTGGTGAAAAAAAGTCCTTCAGTGGATTCTACTTCTTAGCTGATTTTTTATTCTTAATACTTATTCAAACAGTAAATATTTGATAGGTAAGTGATAGAATAAATCCAATATACTACTCATTTATTTTACTTTTCTATTTCATTTGGACACAATAAGCGTTGTCTTTTTCTCCTACTTATTCGTCGGTAGTAAATGACAGTGTCGTCATTTTTCTCTTTTGATATCGTTTTGTTAGCTATAAATACAAGGTGAAGCTTTATTCTTTTTTTCTTTTCTGTTTGTTTTTATGTTTTTGTTTGTTTTTCTTGATTACTAAAATACAAACGATTAATGAATGATATACTTATAATGTCGAATAAATTATTTTAGATGGCAAATTCTGCTGAAACAGGTGGTGTTCATGCTCTGGTTCGTCATACAGCTGCGATGGCTGAATTAGCCATTCATGCTGGTCATCCAGATCGAAAACATAACGAATATTTACCATATCCTGATGATAATTTTATTGAAACTGTTGATGAACGACTTGAAAGCGGTTTGCATAGATTTATATATATATATTCCTAATGATTTGAACTCTTTTTTAGCTGGTAAATATACTATTGAACATATACATAATCGTGGTGGACAAGCATTTATCCCTAATGCTCGAGTTAATGTTAAATTAATTGTTGCTCAACGTACTTATGCCGCTTTTACAGAATTTCTTAATCCTTATTTGTAAGTTTAACTGAATAGCAATTAAGATTGTCAAAAACTAATGAATTTAATTTTAAAAGGTACTGTGTAACAACTGAATATGGTCCTTTTGAATGGTCTGTTTATAAACGTTATCGACATTTTCATGAGTTACACAAAGCCTTGATTCACTTTGTTCAAATGGAAACAAAAAGATCAATCAGTGATTTAGAAAAGTATATATGAAATAGAATAATGAAAAGTTAAATATTTATTTTGTAATCTCATCGATAGAAAAAAAATAGAGATGTACAGGGTCACCAAATCCTTTCCTTTAGGGTAAGGTAAGGTAAAGGTAAATATGTTGAAGTGTAGAATAAGAATTAGAAAAGTTTTCTTAGTTATGATAAGACAAAATTTTGCCCTGAACATCTCTAAAAAAAAAACAGATAGAAAAAAAGATTACTCAAAATTTTTGATCCCTATCTGTAAATTGACGTAATTTATATGAATACATACATAGATAGTTGACTAAAATACATAGTTTCCTAGAAAAAGATTAAAGCTATGATTGCTGTGTTTTTTATGACTAAACATTTTACATCTTACATTTTTTTGCAAAGATAAAATATGCTTGTAACGCCTAAAGCAAAATAATGTTTTCTAAAGATTTTTATACGAATCGATAAAGTTCAATAAGCTCTACAAGAATATTATCTTGTTTCCAATATGAAACTTGGAAAAAATCAGAAACATTAATTAAAATTTCATCTATTAAGCATTAGAGAGAATAAACTGAACTTTTAATAACTATAGCTGATTTACTATTCTGTCTGTTTATGTGGCTCGGAAAAGTTATTTTCAGCTTCAGTATGTCGCACTCCATCTCGAAATATCAATTATCAGTCTAGCAACTAAGGTTATTGGAGGTTGAGCATATTCTCTTGTGCAGCATATATGAGATTTTTATTAGTCTATCTGGTTTCCTCCATGCCTTGTAAAACACGAACTAAAAAAAGTGTTAAATTATACTCATGCAATCAGAAGTGTGAAATTATCACGTTGTAACAATTTGCATTTTTCGTTTTTTTTAACTAATTCTGCACGGTCAAAACTATCGAAAAATCGACATTTTTGTGGTGACTTTTTCTCACACTTCTGCCTCATTATAACAATCTGAGAAAAAAAACATTTGCTACAGTTTGCCACATAAACACATTAACACTTCTAAATTCATACATTTTGACCGTGTACATCCTATTTATATAAAAAAAAACCAATATTTTAGTGCATTCTACATACTATCAGTTCATCTTATTTGTAGCAGCAATGCATCAAAATTAAATGTTTCGGATATTTTTAATTCAATTACTAATGTTATTAAAAATAGTAAGGAATGATCATAATATAAATAACTACACACTACAAGAAATGATAAGATGTAGTGTGCAATAGTGAATAAGAGAGTTCATAAAATGTTGATGTGTAGAAAAATCAGAGATCGAGGAGCTCAGAAAAGTTGCGTGAAGTCATGCTTTTCTAAACAAAAGATTCATTGTGATATTGATGTCAATAACTGAGTTGCAGCTATTGATAGAAATTATTCAAGTATCTTTTAATTTATTATCAAAAGGAGACAAAAAGTTTTTAGTTAAGAGGAAAGGATAACTCTACCAGTATTCAAATTCCCATTCATTCTACGGTTGAGGAGTTGTACTTCAAGATTTCCTTTAAAAAACTCTTATCTCTTTTTTTTGACGACATATTAAAAGACACGAGAATAATATCTATCAACGGCTGCAACTCATCTATTGATATCTATATGACAATGAAAATATTCCTCAGAATAATATGACACTGCACAATTGTTCTAACTTTCTACACTTCTAATTTTTCTATGGATCAATATTTCAAGAAGTCTGTTACTTACTAATAAAGACTATATCTCATCATTGTTTGTAAAGTGTAGTTATATGGATAATAGTCATTTTTCACTAAGACTAATTGCAATATTGTTTTGTTTAGTAATTTCCATATATTTCTGAGATTTAAATATTGAAGGAAAAAAAAATAAAGCGCACTTCACAATAAATTTGCAATAGAAGGACCATTTACATATGAACAACAGAAACAAAACAATTTCATATTACTTCTTTTATTCATATAGATGAGATGTTCTATTTTTTAGTATATTACAGGGTGTCCTAAAACAAACTTACCCCCTACGCAATTTTTATAACACTGTTACTGTTATTCAGAAATTACGTAGGGGGTAAGTTTTTTTTGGGACACCCTGTATTATAGTAGTGCACTAATCTAATAAAAAGTTGAACGATTTGTGTAATTCATTATATATATATTATTTTCTCTATCTTTGACATCTCAAATAAAGTTCAGTCAATGAGTTTTTTTTGTCTTTGAAATGATATACAAAGATTTGCACCGCAATAGAAACTTAACTAAAAAAGTGGAAATAAAAATTAACTAGAATCAGAAGAAATAATTTGTGTATGGAGACTATAACTTTGCTGGACAGCAGAATAGTGAACTGGGAGTTTCTTTTCGAATATGCATGTCTAGTAAGAAGTGAGAAGGAAATCTATCGATTGAAAAAAAAACAAATCAAGCAAATAAATGAATGATCGTTGCTCTTAATCTACTTTTTCATGTGAGAAATTTTCGCTTATTTTTTTATTGAAGAACTCAAGATAATAAAATCTATTAATATTATGTAAGTTGTGTTAACTGTCGTCTACAGTCTATAATTGCCTATATGATGCATTCTATTCCAACGAGCAACACAAATGTCGAAAATATTTTTTTTATTTTGAGAATGAGAAATTTGTCGAATGACACTTGCAACCGAATATCGATAGATTCAATAGCTGTAGAAATACAAACTCATTGCAATACTTTATTACTGCATGAAAATGCACAAATATATTGTCTAAAAAAGAATTGCTAACAGAAATATATTCAAACAGTAAACGTATATATATTCAAATAAAGATGAACATGATAAAATATCCATCTTCTTTATGCATTATCTTTTATGGTTTGGAACACTGAGCACAAAGAAGTGACGTGACACGAAGCAACAAGCTATTAAAACTCATTAAATACAAAGAGTCCACAAAAAACAACTTTCCGCATTGTTTGCGCTTTTCATAGCTGACCTTTACAACATTTTGGCTTGAGGAAATGGCAACCTTGATCTTAATGTTGTTGAGACAAAGAATATTGGTAGTATTAGTTAATGTGACCTATAATAGGATTGAATAAATATATTGTGAAGAAACATATTCGTTTATATATTCTATATAAAACAACGAGAAAAATAATATTTCGACTAATAAACTCGTGAGAATATCATTACAAAAATTAGAATCCTATTTTATTGAAGTTGTCTAACTTCGTAAAGTTATGTAAATGAAATATGAATAGTTAGTTGGATGGCCATTGAAGAAGTGTGCCCTAAGATACATAAAATAAAACAATCTCCTTGTGATTAGTAACAGCAGTTGTATCGTGTGTCACACTTTAATCCTCGCAGGGATTGGGCTAACTGCTTTTGCATTGGAAAACAGAATTAGATGTTTTTAGGTTTTCATATATTTGTAGAGCTTATTGAATTCTATTGAACCATGTAAAATTTTCTAGAAATTAATATTCTTCTCAACTTTAATCACTGAGGCATTATAAGAATATTTTTGTTTTTGTCGACAAATGCAAGAGATCAAACGTACAGCCACACTTAATAAAGGAACCATAACTTTTCATGATTTCGATAAAATTCAAGCTATTTTCTTTTCAGAACATAGCTTTAATCTTTTTCTACAAAACTATGTGTTTCAGTCAACTTTCTACATATGTATTTTTGTATAAATAACGTCAATTTACAGAGATGGATCGACACTTTTGAATTACCCTGTAGTTTACATTTTTTTAAAATGATCATCGTCAGTCGATGATGCAAAATGAACCGATTAAATTCATTACACAACGACTGTATGTCGAAAATATTTGTCTATTTATTATGAATTTATTGTGCATTTGTTTAATTAAAATAATATAAATCGAATTTATTTATTCTTAATCATTTTTCTATTTGTTATAGAATTCAAGATGAAGATAATGAATATCCATGTTTCCCAACAAGAAATGATCGTTTGGCATTTATTAATGATACTATTATTCAAGAACGTTGTGTAAATTATACAATGATTTTTTTTTGATTTTCTATGTTATTATTTTGTTCTTTTTTTGTTTGCATAGAAAATTCTTGCTGAATATCTCAATAGAGTTCTCAAACATCCTAAATTTCGTAAACATCCAGCAACGGTATGAATTTATAATTGCTATTATCTATATAGAATAGAATAATAAAATATTTAGTATTTATGAGAAATTTCTTTCTTATAACACTATATTGTACTATTTTAATTGTTTTAGTGTGAATTTTTTGAAGTAAGTTGTTTATCATTTATTTATGGTATATCAATTAGCCGAAAAGAAGGTTATCTATTAAAACGATCACATGATGAATATCGTGGTCAGCGTGCTCTCTTTCGTCTACCACTGCTTTGTGATACATGCAAACGTCATCATGATCGAAAGTAAACTTCTTTTTTTCTCATTAATATTATTTTGAATAAAAAGATCTTAATTTTTTATTAAATATAGATGGTTTGTTATTAAAGATAGTTATATAACATACATACGACCTAGTACATTTGAATTACGTTTTCCAATGTTAGTTGATCGTGGTTTTCGCATTGTTACTGGTCTACGTAATGTTCGCACTTATCATGGTATTAAATTAAAAAATTTACAACGTACATTAGTTCTTAAATGTCGAACAACACGTGAATCTGAAGAATGGACACAACATTTATTAAATTTAATTGAACAATCCAAAGGTTTTATCGATAAAACAGCAAGTAGATTTAATTCATATGCACCTATTCGAGAAAAACAATTAGCTTATTGGTAAAATAGTTACTAAAATATTTTTTATATTAGAATAAAATATTTAACATAGGTTTGTTAATGGTAAATCATATATGGAAGCTGTTGCTAAAGCACTTTTAACAGCTAAAGAACAAGTTTTCATTACGGATTGGTGGCTTTCACCTGAAGTTATGTTAATTCGACCAACAGAGGATGAAACATTTCGACTTGATAATATATTAGGAAAAATAGCTGTAAGAATTTAATTTGTTTTATTATTCATGACTATTAGATCTTTTGTGTAATGTATAGGATGAAGGAATTCGTGTTTATGTAATGGTTTTTAAAGAAATGAAATTTGCTATAGGTTTGAATAGTGCATATACAAAACGAATATTAATTAATAAAAGTAAAAAAGGATTTATTAAAGTCAGTTTAATATTTTAATTAAGAATACTATAAATAATTCGCTTGTTTTAATCTCTAAGGTTATTCGACATCCTGATCATCATCCGAACGGAGGAGTATTGTTGTGGTCTCACCATGAAAAAATGGTTGTTATCGATCAAAAAATCGCTTTCGTTGGTGGAATTGATTTATGTTATGGCCGTTGGGATGATGATTTTATGCGGTGAGTTATTATCTTATTTTAGATTTCGTGTTGTTTGCAAGTACGTAATGCATTTATCTGTAACAGAAAAAAAAAGCATACATATAAGAGTTTTACCTATGCCATGGGCATGTGTGCAGTGCTGATCTAAATACTCAACCGTAGTGGGTCACCGACACAAGATTCATTGTGACACTGAACTACGCTGACATTCGTATTCGTTGCAATATTGAAACACCAACTCTATCAATAGTATTTTTCTTTTGTAACGATGATTTTTCATACTTTAGTAAACACTGGTGCTAGTGTGTCAGTGTGCACTAGCTTCACAGAGTTGGTGATGTCAGTACCGGGTCTCAAAATTGGGCCACTTAATGGTCCGTATTGGAACAAGAACTGCTCATGCTTTTCTAGCGGGACCTAGAGTGACACTATTAGAAATATATTTCTTTTACAAAAAAAGAATATTTAAACGATCGAACTTCACAATTACTGCAATCGCTAATTAGAACATTGTGAAAATGTTTATTATTATAGTGTGAGCACAAGTTGAATAAAGTCGAACGATATTGATGCTTGAAAAAACATCATGAGAGATAAGGCGAATTATTTATTGAACTGAAAGATCAAGATATGTTCGTGAGTACTGCAAATTCTTGAAGACTATCATTTATGAACCTAATCTTTCACGACTTAAGTGCCCATTGATCACTTTCAAAGAGTCAAATCGGTTACTATTTTTAGTTACACTATTAATGTTAGTCCACAGTCAACACTGTTCTACTTCAGCAACACTCATGCCACTTAATGTAGAAGATGAGGTACTCAGCCTTGTATGTGGATGAGAAATGCCATTGAGCTGAATAATTTCTCTGCTTTTATTTATTAGCTAAAGGAAACATCCGACACGTTCATATAAAAAAAATTCTTGATTTATAAGTGTTGCGAAGTACAAAACCTATCTAAGAAATTTTGACGAAAAATAAGAATAAAATCTATAATAATGGCTCTCTGTAATTTTGATTAAAATCTTATTTTTCAGTTTTTAAGATAATTTCTGTTATTTGTAGTCTTTATTGATTGATTAATAAAGTTTCATAAATTGAAGTTATTTTTAAAAATTGATTTAAAAACATTAAAATCGAATGAAATCTGTCTTCAAAGTTTAAAAATCAGATTTGTTCTATTTTCTTACATGGAAAGTCTTCCTTGAAAAAAAAAACAAACAAGTTTGGATCGGACGGCCCATTTCGAGTCCTGACCTATAGTCAGTTAACCCTTTCCAGCCGGCTCCCAGAAGGCAGACAACAAGAAAATATTGTCTTGCATATTTTTTGTTGCTCCACCACAGTGATACCAAAAATATATTTTTCAGAATAAAAATTTTTTTTTTGTATCCAATGGCTACATGTTGCCATTTGGCAACACTCGGCCGTAACGGGTCAAATTAGTTGACAAATTTTTTTTCGATTTCGATTATAAAAATGCATTATTCAGTACCTCTTCGTTTATTAAAAACACTTAAACATGAAAAGAATTACTCAAGCATAGATAGAGCGCCTCCATGCAGCTTTTTCAGAATTTAAATTTCGTTTTTAGTGACAAAACTTCAGTGCACGAGACTTGCAGTTCTCCAAAAAGGACATAGAAAACAATAATTGGTTTGAATATGAATGTGCATGTAGATAAATGAAAGACCTACACCAACGTCTGCATTTAACTCACGATGTACCTATTCTTGTTCGGTTATTACACTCTGAAGGCTAGCAAATTTGAATTTTGCCACTAAAAACTAGATTTGAATTTGAAAAAAGCTGTGGAAAGCATTCTATACATGTTTGAGTCATACTTTCTTCTAAAAACCTTTTGAACAAACGAAAAGACATACAATAGTGCATTTTGATGATCGAAATCGAAAAAAAATTTTTCAATTTTTTGACCCATTACGGCCGGCTGTTGCCAAATGGCAACATCTATCATTTTCATTGTTCGGATTTACTGAACAATCCTTTTTATCAATGCAATATGCAATAGATCTAAGCAGCAAAATTTACAGCTAATGACTTCTAGTATTGAATCAGTCAATCTGCAGGAAAATGTATTTTACGGTTGAATGGCTTCTATGGGATATTGTAGATAAATTCGGCTATGATCCCAACGGCAAGTCCCTTTTTGTATTAGAAACCGTGAGTGTATCCTGAAATGTACTGCAATAATTATCGAATAGTTAAAAAGTTTTATATCTTTACTCTAAGCAAACCATCCTAGAAATATTGACTAAATGTTGCCAAATGGCAACATCCGGCTGGAAAGGGTTAACTGAAATTTCACTTTCCTACATGTGCCATTGAGAATCATTTGTTTTTCTTTAATAGATATATACGACAATTTCTGTAAGAAATCATAAATGATCCCAGTAGATAGTATGCTTTCAATTCATCTAACATGACTATTGCGTGGTTTATAGTGAGTTGTTTATTCTTATTAGTAGGCAAGTGATCATGGAATGAATATCATACAAGAAACTAATGAACTTTCTTTTGTAAATCATCAACCATAATTTAATATAGTTTTTAGACAAAAAAAGAAGGTAGGTTTTACAAAAATAAATTACTCAAAACGATTTGAATATTTTTCATAATTTTTCTTGAAAGATATTCTTACGAGTCATTTAAGTACGAAGTTCAACTACATAGATCTAAATGAACAAGTGTTGAAGCATAACATGACATATAGATTCAATTTCATTAATAATTAAGCTTAGAAATGTTTGACTAGGTTACTTATTAAAATTACTTCGTTTAAATTATTTAAATATCATATGATGAGAAATGAATTAACATAAATAATGAACTTCTATGTTTTTTATTTGTTAAATCAAATATAGAATTAAGAGTTATTTTTTGTTTTAATTATTAGTCTCGTCGATTTGGGCGCAGAAAATGATACAACATTGAAATCATCACTCGACATAGTTGTAGAAAACGTAGCAGCAGGTGGCACAGAGATGGTAGAATCAGCACAAAAAGCTACCACACAAATGGCTGAACAAGCTGGTGAAAGATCAATTAAGGTAAGACAAACAAAAGAAGAAAGAATTAGATAAGAAAATAAAGAGCAATAATCACTACTTATTTTTCATATACATATATTTTATATAAAAGAAAATTTCAATTTTAAACCAATGAAATATTTAATCACAAGTAACAACTACAAGTGTAAATGAACGAAAAAAAGCTAAAACGAAAGAATATTTAGAGTGATAGTAAATGCCAATGCTATCTATTGAAAAATAAGATTAACAAAATAAATGTTATGATAAATGAAAATTTCTTTTAATTTGTTTAAATAATATTGATGAATCTATTCTAGAGTAGTGATCGTTTGAGAACAGTATTCAGTGCTCCGAACAAAGCAAGTGAAGATATCAAATTTGGCGAACCAATTAATGAAACTAAACCAGATTTTCGAACGAAATTGATAGCTAAAAAATGTAAATATTTCATTTTTTTTTTAAATTCAAATTATTCACTATTGTTTTTTTTTCTAATTCTGAAGGGTTCGAAGCAAAGTTTTCAGGTAAGAATAAAATTTTGTTTATTTTATATTTATTAAAAAATAAAACAAGGAAACTATAATGTTCGTATTCAGACGATTATCTTTCTAAATTAGATTACTGTTCTTCTATATTCTCATACATGAATATAAACTGATAAGTGTACAATGTTATTCACATAAGATTAATGAATTTATTTCTCATAATCTAACTTTCAATTGATTTCATTCGTTTGTTATTATTTTTAACATAGTTCTCAAACAAAATAACAGACTTTTTCGTTTTTATGTGTTATGAATTTAATAGCTTTTCTTTGTTCTCTTATGTTTGTTTATTATTTTGTAAATTATAATCACTTGAATAGGAATAGATGGAAATGAAAGTGATTCGGAATCAGACGACGGTAATACTAAATATTCTACGTCTTTAATAATACTTTACTAATAGTGTAAATAAAACAACAACAACAACTAATAATAATAATCAACATCAACAAAGGTCATAGAAGGTGCTATATTGACATTATTGTAAAGCTAATATGGGTAGCATTCGATCTTTACTTGCTAGATTGATCATATTGTTGCTATTGTTATGATCACAGTTACTTATGTTCTTTCTATGTTCTCATCAATGTCACTCGTACAATACTTCTAATGGATATCATTTTGCATGTCGTAGGTAATTTTGTTCATTCTATCTTTATCGAAACGAATAATAATATTGGGAAAGCTCTTGCTATTTATCGTTTCAAAGCTTTTATAATATTTGCTGCATAACTCTAGTTTACATTAGAGAGGAAACAATCTAAATTTTGATTTTATGTTTTGAATATAAAAGATAAACCAACAGCATCTGATCGAAGAATATTTAAAGACGATGAAAAAGTTGCTCGACGACCAGATAAATATGCTCGAAAATGGCGAAAATTAGCTCACGTAAATAATAAAATAATCTGTGTATAAAAAGTCTTTGCACAACATATCTAGTCAATTTTTCATCTACTAATAAGTCATTGGATAGAATTTAAAACAATCAGCTAGAATTAGAATTTCATAGTGTTGCTAAATATATCGTCAAAAAATTTTTTTTTTCTAACTTAAAGTGAGTTCATTGAGAGCAAGCCTTTGATAGAAGTCAAAAACAAAAAAGATATCTATACAGCTTTTCATGTAGGTCAATTTTGTCTTTTTATACACCAGTTTATAGAGCGAGTCTCGCTCTATAAAACACCGAATTAGTTTCTCTTTTTACATATTGCTGTAAAAGATCGAGATATATAATATTCGAAAGAAATACTTTTTCTTCAAAAAATGTTGTTTCATGTAAAGAGTATTTATTTGAGAGGTGTTTATAATTTTTCAATTCTTTTGAATTCCAGCTTACTATAATGTATGATTGGGTTGACAATTAAGTTTTCTACAGCACTAGAAAGTCAAAATTATCATGCAAGATCATTCAGAGAAGTTATGAATGCTAAAAAAAACCTATATTGCTAAATATAAACAATGTTTTTGATTTGTAGTTTTTTCTTACAGCTAACCAACCGTTAGCCTATAGAAATTTCTCAACATATATTTAGAAAGAGCATCAAATTCTGTTTCTAAGTTACTATGTTTGATCTTCTTCACTAGCATATAAGTGTTCCAAAAAAAATGAGCAATAGAAATGCAGGATTAGCATTAGTATTAGAATAATACTGATTCATAAGGCATTAGTATTAATATTAATTTGAATGCTTTGGTATTTAGGCTTGTACCGAGCTCGGGTTCGGTCTGTCTCGATTTTTTAAATTTTGTTTTCTCATAAGTATTTTATTTATTTATTTATTTTATACGTCAATAGTGTTGCTTTGTTTGTCTTTAAAATTCATTCTTATACTATAATACATGTATTCAAAGAAAGTAAATTTCAAGAGTCTGCTTGCATATGCAGTAGTTTCTATACGTCACTGACAGAAGTATATTAAGTTTTAGTATAGAGATTGGCTATTTTCTCTACGAATATTTCATTATTTTTAGAAAACAATGATTAGTTAGAACAGATACATCGGTGATATAGTTGAATGAAAATAAAAGAACATTGGAAGAGAATGACATCAAGATACAACATATCGAGTTACACACTTTAGACTAGACGGTTTGCTTGAGTCCAAGCTATTCAGACTCAGTACATACCTATTGGTACTATGTGAATTAGAATTAGTTAATGCCAAGCTGTTAGCATTATTTTTAATTCTAATGCGCATATACAACCTGGCACCTTACTTCTGAGAGTTCATGTTCAAAAGTTTCCGATAACAGAAAAAATTGTTCAGTTTTAAGGACTTCTACTAAGCGTTAATTAATTTTAATGCAAATAATAGCATCGCATTAAGGTTAATATTAATACGCCAGTCCCAATGAGCATACATACTTATCAACATCTGCTAATTTAGAGTTTTGTACAGGTTAGAAAGAATATCAAATGGTGATCAAACCTGATTACTTTAAATTATTTCCAGTGACTTATAAGTAAATAAAAATTGATCAAAAATGTTTAGAAGGACTTTTCATACGTAGCTTAAAGCTAAATGTAAATATTGGCTTTATTTAGAAAGTGAAAACAAGCAGTGATGATTCTGATAATGAAGAAACTTTAGAAGAGACACAAGCAGTTGTTGGTCCAACACCTGAAATTGATAGAAGGCAGAAATTTTTTATTGGAAAAGATTATTCAAATGCATATGAAAAAGATTTCGAAGCACTTGAAAATTACGCCGAAGGTAAGTACTTCTGCTTTGTTCATTTATTTCAAGTATTTTAACGTAAATTATAATATAGATTATATTGATCGAAAATTAGTACCACGTATGCCATGGCATGATGAAGCACTGGTTGTATTTGGTCAAGCAGCTCGAGATGTTGCGCGACATTTCATTCAGCGATGGAATATCCATAAAGTTAGATAATAAAGAAAAAAAAAAACATTTCATTTTTTAATTTTGGTTGCTTTTTTTCAAGTGTGAAAAACATCTAAAGAATGATTATTATCCATTTCTATTACCCAAGTCTTATGATGATGAAGAAGATTTAACTGTTAAAAATTGGAAGAAATTTCTTGAAGGTGAACCATTTCAAGTCGATACTCAAGTATGTTATTGTTTTAAATTATTATTCTTTAAGAAATATTTTTACTTGATTTTATATTTAGTGTGTTCGTTCCGTTGGACCATGGTCAGCAGGAACAAAAACAATTGAATCATCTATTCACAATGCTTATGTACAAATGATTGATGCTGCAAAACATTTTATATACATTGAAGTAAATTAATTAAAAGAAATGAAAAGTATCATCTATGATTATTATTGCATATTTAGAATCAATTCTTTATTACTATTGCTCAAGATCCAAGCGTTCGAAATCAATTAGGTGATACTCTTTTTCGACGTATAGAACGAGCACATAAGTATAAATTATTATTTTATTATATAAAATCTAAAAAAAAATTGTTGCTTGATTAGTTTGCACGAAAAATTTCGTATTTATATCGTTCTTCCTCTTTTACCTGGTTTTGATAGCATCAATGCTGTACAAGCTGTACTCTTTTATATCATGCGTTCAATTACTAAGGGTGATGGTTCATTATTTAAACGGCTTGAAAAAGCAGGTAAATCGATAGTTTTCTTATCGTTTAATATCGAATGTGAAAATGAAATAAATTAAAAGTTTTTAATTTATATTATTACTCACAACATTAAATACGAATTGAATAAGTAAAGCTGTCTGTTAATATGTGAAAAATGATGATTAATTGAATGTAGTAATTCTTAAAGATTTCAAGAATGATATCTGGTTTTTTGTTTTTATTATATCTTTGGTAGATAGCCTCAAAACAAGATTCTCAAAGATGTATATTAAAATAAATTCGTCAATGGTTCTTTGAAAAATAGTTCTCCTTAAGAAATTATTTATTTAGTAATCAAATATGTCTAAATTAGTATATAATTAACATTATACGAAGAAGAAACTCTAGAGACAGAAACGAAAATCCTCGAATTAAATATGAAAATAACTAGATACATTATAGATGGGCAGATTCAGGTTATCTAGAGGTTAGGATGTGAGTGTAGGTGATTGAAACGTGTCCATCTTCTAAACGCACATCTCATTCATACCCAAAATGACTAAAAGGGTCTAAGCGACTTAAGAAACTAAAAAGACTAAAGGATGAAAAATATGAAAGTCGTCGTAGCTTGAGAAGTATAAAAGTAAAACGAGATAAATTTAATTTCTCGTGGACTTCTCATACCATCAGGAAATTAATCTTTTTAAGTAATAAAAGCTCTTGTTGAGAGATAATATTGTTGTTGATGTTATAATAAATTTATGAAGAACTTCTTGACGATATTAATATTATTCAAAATGACAAGAATGAATAGAAATCAGTTTTGAAATACATGAAGATATTTAATGATGCCTACACTGTCGAATGACGATGATTAGCCCTTTTATTTAGTTAACATAATTGAATGTGGTACTTAAACAACCCTAAAAAGAAAAAGAAAAATTCTATTTGTCATACTCTTCTTACTTTCGGGTTGGTTCTGATTGAAAAATTCTCAATATAGTAGAATCTTGGAAATAAAAATATGTTGCTCACATCCGATTGTTCACTTTCCATGAATTCGATGAGAAGCAAAAAAGCGTCAACTATCAAATTTCGACATGATGTTCCTACTCTGATTGCAGCTAAAATTTAGATTTGCTGACATCGAAGATTCTAGTGAAAACTTGAACTCATTTTATATATGAATAAGCGAAATGATCAATCCAGAGATTTATATCGTGGTAGCCGCAGGTTTTTTAAACAGCCATCACTGTTGGGACAGCTTCTTTTTGAAGAGCAATGCAAAACTGTATATATTTGCACGAAATTTCAGTGTCCACAAATGTAATATTAAGACTCGATTAATCTTATGGGTTAGTAACAATAGTCCTAAGGCAGTACGATCACAGTAGTGAAATGTGAAACATTTTTTCGAATACCATTGTGACGATTGCAACGTGTTTTAAAGTTTATCGTGGCAATTTTTCAGCCGCAATGAATATCTCTGGGTCGATCTTAAATATTTTGCAAAAGATTAATTGATTTTAAAAGAAAAATACTCCATATGACTCTTATTTTTCAAATTTTAGGTATTTCACCAGAGAATTATATTAGTATTTTTGGTATGCGTACTCATGAGATCCTTATGGGTCATTTAGTAAGTAAAAAATTTCATTAATAATACAATATAGATATTCTTTGTCTTGTTTAGGTAACCGAAATAATATATGTTCACTCAAAACTAATGATTATTGATGATCGTATGGCTATATGTGGTAGTGCGAATATAAATGATCGTTCATTACTTGGTCAACGAGATAGTGAGTTTTGTATGATAATAAATGATCGTGAAGAAGAATATGGTCGATTTAATGGGCAGCAAGTTCGTGTAGGAAAATTTTGTTCTAGTTGGCGAAGAAAACTTTTTGCGTAGGTTTGAAAATTAAACTTAAAAATGATTTTTTTTTTCTTATGGAGAACTGTTTTGTTTCTTAGAATGCTGCTAGGTATTCAATTCGAGAACCCAAATAATATTGATATAACTGATCCAGTATCAGATGAATTTTATACTTATTTTCGAAATGTAGCAAGAAAAAATACACTCATTTATGAAGAAGTTTTTGCTTCAATGCCAACTGATCATGTTAGAAAATTTGATCAAGTTGCTGGATATAATGATGCGCCGAAGATGAAAGATACTGATCCAAAACAAGTATATATTGCAAATATATGTTTGAATAACTTTTTTATTTTGTTTTTAAGGCACAACGAAAATTGAGAGATATTCAAGGTCTTGTTGTCGAATATCCACTTTACTTCCTTGATGACGAAGATTATTTACCGAGTATAAAAACTCCTGAAGGTAAGAACTTTCGATTAATTATTAATGATGGATTCAACTATATTTTTTGAGAGAGCGAAAGAGGAAAAAAAAATTTTCTGTAAAGGAACACAAAAAAGAACTTCAGGTTAGGAGGATGATGTGCAGTTTTCGATAAGCTTCTGATCAGGTCACTCTTATCAATTATCTGTTATTTCATTTTTTTTTTCTTTTAGGTATCGTTCCAACTGTTACGTGGACATAGAGTATTTATTTATTTATTTATTTACATATTTATTTTTTTGTAAATATAACTTTTTAAATCAAAGAGAAAGTCGAATAACATGGTTGTATTAGGGATGATATTTTTCTTTAACAAAAATTGTTTTTAAAATTTATATTTATATTTGAACGTGTGTTAATTTTGTGTGATACTTTTATTTCTCCTGTTTTCTTTTTTTATGATTTGTTTTTCTTAATACATTAATTTTTTTTTCTTCAATCACTATTTTTCGCCTACTTATTTGATTACTTGATTTCTTTATTACTCATGAGTATTTTCATTTTCATAGATATATCTATGTGCTACAAACTCAATGTTTGTTTTTATATTAAATGATAACAGCTAAAAGTGTAAGCCGATTGGCTGACTAATAGAGTTCGTCGTGTCCAAAAATTTTGGACCTAGAGTCGAACCCAGGTGAACCGTACTTTGATACTTGTCATGAAATTTTCTAATCAGAATTGGATAGTCATCCCGTAAATACAAGATACTTTTTTCCAGTTTTTTCTATTTGTTGGTTAGTGCGACCTATACAATTCTCAGGCGACTAGAACCCATCAGGTCAAATGTTCTCGGATTTGGATCTGGCGGATCCGAGTCTAAGGTCAATCTGATGAGCTCCAATGACGAGAAAAGGTAAAGAATTGATAAATTGCTCTTAGCATTTTATTGATGTTAATTTATAGAGTTTGTCAAGTTATTCATTAATATAATAATCATTTGGGCTAATGATGTATTTAAGAATAATTTTCAGGTAATCAAAGTTTGCATTAGTCCATCCATGCCTTATATTCAAGTGTTTGAAAAGATAAAATAGTTTAGTTTTTGTCTTTATAATTTGATAGTTCTTTGATCAACATATATAAGTGCAATAAACCCTCTCCTGTACTATTGCACATTTACATATACTTAATAATAAACAAATAATATTTATTAATAAAAATAGCATTCTTTGATGAATATAGTTGAATTATGTTAGCTCGTTGCATCATTTTTGCATTACCTCTCTCTCTCTCTATGTTGTTGTTATGATGCTATGTACATGTATTCCATGTCTGTCCTCTTTTCTTTTGTTGTCCTACGTGGGTGCATATAGCCTTGTTCAGGTGCATTCTCTTTTCTGTCTTTCTATTTTCATCTAGGGAATACTTTCTCTTTCCGTTCTCTTCTATATACAGTGGGTATCAAAATTATTCAACAAGGTTTATTTTTATTGTTTTGCGCTATCGTAAACACTGCCAAAAATCCAAACAGTAATTCGAATAGACAAGGTTGTTTCCAAAAGGAATAGAAAGAAACAAACAATTATTATTAGACTCGCCATAGTAAGAATTCCAGAAAATCAAAACCTTAGTTTTTCAATACCTATAACGGGTAAATATAATATTATTTAGAGTACATAGGACAATTGATCAAATAATATTCTACAAAATGAGATATTTCTGAGCTCTGTGCGACATTTTTTAGCTGAGATACAACACTTACAGAAACTCATAGAGTCCTTTTTTTCCAATTTCCTATAGAAAAACCATTTTTGACCTTCAATCAAATTGGCATATCTCAGTGTAACAAAAAAGCACCGCAAAGAACTCGGCAATGTCTCATTTCGTAGAGGATTGTTGAATCTATTGCTCTATATAGTCTCAATGAAATTATATTTATACTCTTTAGATGTAGAAAAAATAAGGATTTTGATTTTCTGGAATCTCTATCTTTGCAAATCTGATAATTATTTTTATTTCCTGATATTCTTATTGGAAACCATTTTCTATATTCAAATCAGTACTTGGATTATTCCTAACGCTTACAAAAGCAAAAACAAATGAAAAATAAACCTTGATGAATAATTTTGGTACTCATCGTATATATCTATTTGTTAAAAACTAGATAGCAATGTATATATGCGATAAGATAATACGTGTCTTTCACTAACATCTGATTAGTAGTCGATTAGCTTTACAATTATAAGACTAAAAATGAATTCTATTACTAAAGGATATCATTTTCTTTTAAAAATTCAATGAAAATATAATTTCAAAGCAGAAAATTTATTAATTGATGCTGAAAATGAAAAAAGCGAGTTAATTAATTAATTATTTTGTTTTTGAGGAGACCATTTCAAGTTATAATTTAATAATTAAAATCGAGTACACTTGATTTAACCAAAGATGAAATTATCGTTTAGTTATACATATTAGTATGGAAACATGATGCAATTTTTATGCTATTACTACATATTCTAACGTATTTTGTATGTAAAATGCCTTGAACTTGATCCCAACGGCTACAATTCTGTTTGCTTCTTCTATTATTATTTGTATATAGGCTAATGCAAACTTTGATTACCAGATATTAACCCTCAAACGCATCATTAGTCCGAATGATTATTATATTAGGTAAGAATTTGACAAGCTCTACAATTTCAGCATTACTTAACTTTTAAAAGTAATTTTTCAATCCTTTACTTTTCGTCGTAAGGAAAGAAATAGATTTTCATTGAACACGAAAGCTAATAAATCTTTTATGAAATATAACTGCGTGTGCACAAACAAAGAAAAGATAATTGACTAAAAGATGTTAACATTTACGAATATTTGATCAAAAGGATACACACACTCGTGTGTGCTACATATTCTTTTCCTGTATGTATTGTTCACGTTTTGATAATTTTATTTCGATTTCTATTCGAGCACAAAATATTCTTTTATGTAAGGCTTTTTTAAATGATCTATAGTCTATACCTTGAAATACAGAGTAAATATAGCAATTATTATATAATATTTACTGTTTGCAACAAGAACATCGTATTTTTAGGCGAGAACAATGTTGCTTGTATATTGCTTAGTTAATTATAAGTTCATGTTCAGTTTAATTATGTTGTATAATGACAAATATTATTTGTATGTGTATGAAATCATTGACAAGTGATCATAAGATAAGTTTAATTATTAAAAATATAATTTAGTTCAGCATTGAAAATGACGAGTATTTCATGAATCATATTCTCTCAGATATGATTATAGTAATCAAAATATTAAAATGAATTGTTTTCAAATTATTGTTATGTAAATTAGAACACAATTCTTTCGTAATAATCACATGAAAAATAACTGAAACCTATTTTAATTGAATATTTTTATAACATTTCAGGAGGTCATCGAAACTTCTCAAATCCTCGAGAGAGTATATATATATATAAGATTCGTTTGTATTTGTAGTTAATAAATCATATTTCAACTCTTGGTCTTTGTTTTAATCGAGCACATCAAAAGATAAAAGAATTCAATGGTAACTTCTTCAATTACGACTTATTGTATTTTCAAATTTGTAGATATTTTACATTTATGTCTTATTTTTATTCTAGACTCATTTCAAACACCTTTGATGTATAAATATCTTATGATTTTTTGTTTTAAGATAATTATACAATGACTTTAATCATTAAAGTCTTTATAGTTTACTGCTTCCTTGGTTATCACCAAGAAAAATACATTTGATGTAACAAAATTTGAAATATAATAATCAAAATAAAGGTATAATATATGTATAAATTAGGTTTTTTTTTGGATACTATCTCCTTTCATTCTTTCAAATCGATTTTAATCAATCTGAAGTTAATTTCTGCAATATTGATTTTTATTCAAGATTTTCAGATACATAAACTTGAATAATAAATTTGTCTAAATTTGAAGAAAACAATTTGATTTAGTTCTACATTTTTAAATCCTTCCCGCTAAATGCGTTCAATGTTTCACTATCATCATATTAAAATATTCTTTAATAAAGTAATATATTGAGATGTACTCGAAGAAAAAAAAAACAAATTTCTATTCTTGTTAATTACAATTTTTTTCAAACTAGAGAGAAAATGACCGAAAGACAACTGGCTGCTTTATCTAAATGATCAGCTATATTCTTGCCAGAGACTTTAATTGAAGTCATCAAGCATAAGATCTATGCAAGAGTTTATATAGAACAGAAGAAAAAAATTGATGAAAATGTTGAGCGCCAAAATTGATTATTTTGAAAAAAAAAATGTTTTTTCATGCTTGGTCGAATTGATGACTTTTGCACGTAAATTTCATATTGATCTACTGTTTTCATCTCATGAAGCTAACCAATGTTATTAGCTAACTTTAAGAGCATAAATAATATCCAAGACTTCAAACAGTAATCTATGTCATTGGTATGAATAAACAATATGATTTGTCATACATTCAGATATAAGAAACAAATTTTTGTTTTAAAAGTCTCATGTGATGATTTGATCTAATAAACATTGTGATAACCATATGAATATTCTATTCTATAAATAAACTTCATAGTATTTTCTGTAATATCATTTCTCAAAGTTACAAAAGTGTTCTAAAAGCTTTTCTATCATCCATACATACTGGAGCGTCAAAACAATTAAAGAATGTCTTAGATGTTTTCGAAAGTGCAATAGCAGTCTTGTTTTTTCTTCTTCTCATATTAAGCTTATTATAGTATAAAATCAATCATTACAATGTAAAACTAGCGATAGAAGAGACTTGACGACTTTCATATTCAAGATGATGAGACAACGAAAAAATATCAACAGTAAACGTTTACTCCATCATGATTTGTTAAAGACAATAGGTAATGCAAATTTACCATTGAATTCGAAAAAATTTTCGTTCAATAATATCATCTGTTCTAGTTAATACAAGCGTACAGATCAGAGTTGGAACCGGTCCGGCCGGACCGGACAAGACCGGATGAAAAATTAAACCGGCCCGGACGAAATCGGATTTTTGCCAGTTCATAATATTGAAATTAATCCTTGCA